GTTAATTTACTGTTTAATTAATGTATCTTTTGAATATTGTTTTTTTACAGTAGCGTTATGCCTACAGTTGAACTTTACTGATATTTTCTATTCAGTGATGTGATGAGAGCGAATTTGTTTGCATTATTGGAGTGCATAATAATTATTAAAGGTAATAAAGTTACTTGCAGAATTGAATATAACACGAGTCCAAACAAACAGGACTTGCTGCACATTACATAATTCTATAAATACGCCACTGGATAGTAATGTTTTATAAATTACCATAACGTCACATAAAAATTATGCACCTCATAAATGGCCTTGAGTATTTTCTGCTTCTAACATTCAAATGAGATGAAAAGAAGCTAAAGCATTATTGTGAAGCTATAGTCTCCCAAAGCTTTAATATTCTCAGAATCGAGAGAAGGAGCGCAGTAGGTGACTTCTATATTGAAACACGGTCCATTGTTTGGACTACACTGTGTTGAATCCTGTAGCTCAGTGGTGAGAGCAGTCGCCTCGCAAGCGAGAGGTCCTGGATTTGATTCCCAGGCAGGACAAGACATTGGGCAAGTTTCCTTACTCCACACACACGCCTCTGTTTACCTGGCAGTCAGTAGGAACCCGGTTTTTAGTTGATTGGTGGATCGCTTTTCCAGGGGATAATAATCTCTTAAAATAATAATAATAATAAATTGGTCACTCAATCCACCACTGTTCGTGGGACGCTGCTGTGCGCAATTGGCTGCCGCGTTTCGCCCAAAAAATACACAGTCAATTCACTTTTACAGTATATTCTGTGAAGCGCTTTGAGACGTCTCCAAGATGTGAAATCAAATATAAGGATAATTATTATTATTACACTTAATTTTGCCCATTAGTGCATCTATGGGTTGTGACCCTGATACTTAAGGCAAGAGACTCAACAACACGAATAGACCAGAGGGAGGGAGGGAGGGAGGAGGTGAGCCGAGAGTTAAACCCCTGAGATCTGACTCGTACAATGCTCGCTCCAGATTATCCTAATAAGCTTCATGGATGTTGACAGGACAGTTGAAATCCAGTTTATCCAGTCTAATAGAAATCAGATGAAACCAATCTCAAGGTGGCAAATGAAAAGTAACCTCTCCTTGCAGTTGTCTCCCTCCCTCTCCCACCTGTTCACCTCCTACTCCACCTCCGCTCGGCCAGCTCCAGCCTCCAGTTTAACCCTCGCTTTCAGCCGCTACATAATGAAACACATTGATTGCGGATGATTAGTGCCAATAACCGTTGGCACAAGACATCTGGAAAAAATCTGCACCTTATTTCACCCCAAACAATCTAGCTGTCCTTGTCAGTATCTCCATCTCTCACTTGAGTTGCCACCTGCCTGGTCTGGAAAAGGATATTCAGATTTTTTGTGAGTGGTCTTTTCAGAAATGAAGAGTTTCCTTTTTAAAATAAGAGTCCATTTTTCCCCCCACTCACTGTTGTGGGAGCATTAATTATTGAGGTTTTAAAAGCGTGAAAAAAAATTATAATAATTGGACTGTGCGCAATTGGCTGCCGCGTTTCGCCCACAAAATATACAGTCAATTCACTTTACAGTGTGTCCCGTGAAGCGCTTTGAGACGCCTCGAAGACGTGATCAGGCGCTGTATCAAATGCCGAGATTATTATTATGATGTTGTGTACTTCTTTGTTTGTCTGTCTATCTGTGCTCAGACCTTTACCTTTTCCTTTTCCACAGCCATTGCTCAATGTGCTCAAATCTGTGAGCCGAAGCCCTAACTGGTATAGAGGTCTTAAGTGGACAAATATGGTGCAGTCGTATGACAAATACAGAAAGGAATACTTTTTCTTGACATCCAATTATCCCTTTTCTTTGCGCATTTCCAGTCAAACAGATTCATTTCAATGAAAAACACAATCCAAATCATTTGCTCCATTTTGTCCTTGTCGGTCATACTTCTGTAAATTATAGCTTTTACTATTTTCCAAACTCATTATTTTTCAGACGAGCGAGGATCCAGAGAACATTTAATCATGTTCACCAAATAGACACTTCAGGGGGAAGTGGCCTTTCCTGGGTGAGAATAACAATAATCCTTGCACTTGATATAGCACCTTATCATATCATTGAGACATCTCAAAGCGCTTCAGAGCATATACAGTAATTTGTATATCAGGATATACAGGATATACTGTAATAATACCAATTTGCACACAGCAGCGTCCCCAAAAACAGCCAATCGTGTTTTAATTTGGGGGATTGTCGGCCAGGACTCTGGGAGAAGCTCACCTTCTCTTGTCAAATATTCACACGGGATCTTTAACGTCCAACTGAACAAGCAGGCGGGACATAGGTTTAACATCTCACCTGAAGGACAGCACCTCCGCCTATGGAACGCTCCCCCAGCCCTGCACTGGAGTGTCATCTGAGACAATATGATTCCAAGTCCTGATAGGGAGCTTGAACCCTTAACCTTCTGACTCAGAGGCTAGAGAAGGGAGTTTCTCCCACCGTGCCAGGCTGACAGAATGAGCAGTTAATTCATTCATAGCCTTCCAGATTTTGTTTTCATGTCTATTTGTTCCAATGAAACTATAAAACCACAGGACACTCGGGGAAATGTGTCTGTTTGGAGGATGAAGCTATTTTGAATGGTGTGTAGCCAGTCTTTACATGTTTATAGTTCTACGCTCCAGTGACAGCTAAGGATAATAATAATAATAATCCTCGCGTTTGATATAGCGCGTTATCCCGCCATTGAGATGTCTCATTGATAAGTGTTGTTTCTTGTTAAAATACAGTTCCCTTTTTCTTTAATCATAACCATTATGTGGCCAAAGTAACATTATTAAAATCTTTGCAATGCGATAGGGCACATTTCATATCAGCAGGACATCTCACAAGGCTTCCCAGGATTGTGTATTTTGCAGACAAACTCGCAAACACACAGCCATGAAGTGAATGACCAATTTTAATTGGTGAATTGGTCGCCAGGACAAATTCCCTTCTCTTTTCAAATGGTGCCACAGGATCTTTAACATCCAACAGGCAGACGGCACCTCGATTTAGTGTCTCACTCAAAGAATGGCTCCTCTGACAATGCAGCACTCCCCACCAGTGCACGAGAGGGTCAAACCAGAATGGTCAGTTGAAAGCTCCTACGTGGGACTTGAACTCACAACCTTGAGAAATGCCCACAGAGCCAGGCTGACACCTATTGACCGAAGCATATGAAGGTTCACACCGGTTCTCAAATGAGATATAATAATAATCCTGGCATTTGATACAGCGCCTTATCACGTCTTCGAGACGTCTCAAAGCGCTTCACAGGATATACTGTAAAGTGTAGTGACTGTGTGTTTTGTGGGCGAAGCCATTTTATGTTGTAACAACTGAGATGAGAGATGAAAGAGATACCCGTGCTTGCAGTTGCAATGCAGTGAAACATTTCCATGACTTCTGTGTGTCTAATAATAAGCTATGGAGACGGAACTGTGTCTCAATATCATTTCACACCAAGCAGTGTGCTGTCAGATGTGGGCAGAGCTAACTAGGAGCCCAAGATATCATTCAATTTGAAGGTGAAACCATAAAAGAGCCGGGGTAGGTATTTTATCATCCTTCACCGAGTGAAGTTTTTAGGAGAACCATCAAAAATTGAAACTCTGCGATCCCCGTTTTAACAGCTTATCTCGGCTGAATTTTAAAATGCTGGCGTACACCGTTATTCCCATCCTTCCGTTACGTATTTAATTACTCCTCGCCTGTGTTTCGCTGTACTTCAAAGAGCAAGTCAGTAACATTGCACCTATCTTTGAAGTTAGAATCCCTTATGAAATCTAATGGAAAATCTATTTAAAGCACCATTGCAAATCCTTTCTATTATTTGATAGAGGTGCAGCTTTTGTAAGATTTACAGATAACGTTGATTTAAAATGAAAGGCCACAGTGGTTAATAATTCAGTTCTGGCACTGCACTCATTAATTCTTGCTTATTATTCTTTAATCTACAACACTGTGACGACACCTCACAAGATCACAGTTTGGATGAAGGAGACCCTTCTGACCTCCTCCCCCTCCTACTGTCCTCCCATCACAGCATCAAGCTGCTTTTTAAATGTCTCAGTATCCTGGCTTCAATCACCCTTCCTGACAACCTATTGCAGTTATTAATTAGTCTCTGGATAAAGAAAAGCTTCCTGGTTTCTGCTCTGAAATTCCATTGCACTACCTGTATGCCTGGTTACCCAAACTAATCTTTATGGATTGTCTTTATTCAAGACTGAGATTAATAGATTTCTGGTGGATAAAGGGATATGGGGATAAGGCGGGCGGGTGGAGTTAGAATAGATCAGCCATGATCTTATTGAATGGCGGGGCAGGCTAGAGGGGCCGAATGGCCTACTCCTGCTCCTAATTCTTATGTTCTTATGTCTGCAAAAAGATTCTAGGATAGGCTTATTGCTCAACCCATGTTTAGTTGTTTCAAAAATTATCAAAACCCTTTATTTTTGTCACTTTTTCTACCTCTATAACCCAATCAGAATTGCTTGCGTTTTAGCTAAAAATGGATTTCAAGAACTGCGAAGAGTCAGTTAATTCAGGAATTAGAAATTTGGTGATTTATCTGAATAATAATAATTTAATATAATAATAATCTTTGCATTTGATCTTTGCATTTAATATAATAATAATCTTTGCCTTATCACATCTTCGAGACGTCTCAAAGCGCTTCATAGAATATACTGTATAGTGAATTGACTGTAGCAAGGTGCTAAGGACTGAAGGGATATTGTATGTGGAGATGAGGATATTGAAGTCTCTCTGTTTATCATTTCCAGGAATCATAGGAACTGAAAATGCCAACGCGGGAAGACTTCACAGTCAATGTCCTATTTTGGGAGCGGGGAATTCTGTGCGGAGATTAGAGGTTTTATCAGATTGAGGTTAGGACATTGCTCCTGGCCCCAAACTGTTTTGAAGACAATCTGTGATTCAAAGGTGAACAATGAAAACAGGTAACATGGAAGAAATAATGTACAATCAAAGCAGGAGCATCTCCGAAGGTATTCCTAACAGCACCAGGCCGCACTTTGCAGATTTTGATTCGTGTCAAACCTCTTCACCTGTGGTATTCTTGCTGATTATAGTCTACAGTGCGGTGACTATAGTGGGCCTTTTTGGTAACCTGTGCCTCATCTTCATCATCAAAAGACAGAAAGAGAATCACAACGTCACCAATATCCTGATCGCAAATCTCTCTGTCTCTGACGTTCTGGTCTGTGTCGTGTGCATTCCTTTTACTATCGTGTACACATTGATGGATCACTGGATATTTGGAGAAACAATGTGCAAAGCAACCTCCTTTACCCAGTGCGTGTCTGTCACTGTGTCCATATTTTCCTTGGTTCTGATTGCCATCGAAAGGCACCAATTAATCGTGAATCCACGTGGCTGGAAGCCCAGTGTCTCACACGCGTGTTGGGGAATCGTTTTGATCTGGTTCACCTCCTTAATCATCTCCTTTCCCTTCGTTGTGTTCCACGTCCTGACAGATGAAACGCTTAAAAATGTCTCTTCACACAGTGAATTCTACAAGGACAAATTTGTGTGCATCGAGGTCTGGCCCTCAGAGACAGAGAGATTAGTTTTTACAACATGCTTGCTGGTATTTCAGTACTTTGGGCCACTCTGCTTCATATTTGTCTGCTACCTGAAAATATCCGTGTGCCTCAAGAAAAGAAACGGCATGGCAGATAAAATGAGAGAAAACGAGAGTAGAGCAAATGAGAGCAAGAGAATCAATACGATGCTGATCTCAATTGTGGTGGCTTTCGCAATCTGTTGGTTGCCTCTGAACATCTTCAATGTGGTCTTTGACTGGAATCATGAAGCTTTGATGAACTGTCACTACAATCTGGTGTTCAGTCTGTGCCACCTATTAGCAGTCGTGTCAACCTGTATTAATCCAATCTTCTATGGGTTTCTCAACAAGAATTTCCAAAAGGACTTAAATATGCTAATCCATTGCAAATGCCAATCTGCCCAGGAAGAGTATGAGAATATTGGACTGTCAACCATGCACACAGACGTGTCGAAATGCTCTCTGAAATTAAACAATTCCTCTCAAAATGTCTAAGATCACTTTTAAGGTTGTCGTATTCCAAATGCTCAGTAATTCACTGACAGACGCTGTTTGGAGGAAGTCGATGCTTGTGAAATTACACCTATCGTACGAGACAACTGAGGTTTCGTACAGACAGTAAAATTAAAATGCAATAGAAAGCTGCTAGTGGGGATGGCAGCCCGTTCAGGTGGATGTTAAAGATCCCACAGCACTAATAATAATAATAATAATGTTATTAATATTACACTATTCAAAAAGACAAGGGAGTTTCTCTCTCTCTCTCCCCCGGTGTCCTGGCCAACAATCCCCCAGTTAAAATTGCTCACTGACTTCATGGCTGTTTGGGCGATTACTGCTGCGCTCAAATTGGTTGCCGCATTCACCTGCAAATACAGTCAGTCACTACACAGTAAAATCCTGTGAAGCACTTTGAGACATTTTGACGATGCGCTTGTGTTATTGTTATTACTATGTTTATTTATTTATCCCCGTTGACTCGCTGACCAAAATTGACTCAAGGAAGTCAATGTTTTCGCTGCTGTGTACGGAGGTGGAGGGAGGGCGTGAGCGAAAGAGGTTCTTATCAGAGACTCTTACTGTATGAGCAACACGGCGAATGCTGTGATTTGTTACGCCAACATTCACTGTTGCATTCCACAAGCACTGATGTTATTTACGCATAATCTGTGGTATATTTGTTCCTTTGTTTTGTGTCAACATAAATATTTTCCCTGTGTTATTGATATTACTGACTTGATGCTGTACCAAACAGGAACCCGTCTGCAGTGCCTTCATGGTATAAGATTTCAAAGGGTCGCCTTGCTTCATTAGCCTCACTTTGTTGTTGTTCCTACAAGCACATTCATAGATTTTTCTCCGCGTGTTCGCTGAAAACACTGACCATGTGGTGAGAACTAAAGATCAGTCAGTGTGTTACATGCCAAAGCTATCTGATTGTTCACAGAGCAAAGCATAACATGAACCAATTCATATCCATAGCAAAGAAAAACACTCAAACTATATCCCTCACATATACCAAGATAGCTGGAGATAGTCAACAGGTCAGGCAGCATCTACGGAGAGAGGAAAGTGAGTTAACGTTTCAGGTCGATGACCTTTTTCGCCTTTGAAATTGCATAGGTCAATGACTGAGGAGGTAAGTCAATTGGTCTGGGAGAAAAATTACAGTATTAAAGGTAGGAATTTTGATTTTGAAAGGCAAAATCTATTCAATGATTTCTATGAAAATGTCTTCTGTTACTCTTATAATACAGTTACACACATACAGTCCATCCCAAATGGACAGTTACTGTAGGGATTTGATGGACATACAATGATAATCTAGTTGAGTTTCTGTCTCTCCCCATTCACTATCCGAACATGAATTGAATCATAGCTGTAACAGGATTTGCAATACAAATAAAACCCATTTGTATCTTATAATGCAGTTTGTAGGCACTCCAGTCCACGTGAATAGGCAGGAAAAACGAGTCTGATCTATTTAAGGATTACTATTATTATCATCATCATCATCATCAGAATGCAATGTAATGACCTGAATGAGAGCAATGTGATAATAACAATACAAAGCTTTCCTCCTTTAAAGATATGCCCAACACTTTTCCACAAAGACTTACGAAAACACATTAGACGATTAAGAAGAATGTAATGTACATATTTCAGTGCTATAAATAACAACAACTTGCATTTATATAGCGCCCTTCACAATGGCTAGCATCTCGGAGCGCTTAAAATAACAGAGTAATCATTTAACTTCAGTGGAAGAGAATCTCTTCTGATACTCATATTTTCAACAGCCGATGAATTGAAGTTGCACATCCCATTGCTGCTAACTTTTTAGCCCTGCATTATTGAGTATTCTATGCCTTTTGAGCGTGAGCTTTAATTGTCAAGAGTAGCATTTCTTATAAATATTTGAGGGATTTTACTTTGTGCAATAGTGGACATTTATCTGCTTTATTTGAATTGAACATTGGTCGATCGACATGCATTCTCTCTGGGAACCCATTTGCTAATGGGAAATTGCATAGAAGTATGTATTGTTGATGCCGGCTGCCAGGAGTCTGAAGCGATACTTAACGTAAATTTCTTTCAGCGTTCCTTGCCAAAGCAAGGAAACGGCAAAAGATCAAAATATTGGAAACCTATATTGGTTTGTTTTGTTGTAAAAGACTTGCTCGTTTTGTGTAAATCTGTACATTAAACGTGTGTCATCTTGAGATGAAAATGAATGTGTCCCCTTTCTTAGACTTCTAGAATTGATGCGGAAAATACATTTTCAAAAGCAGTCTCCAATTTCAGTGTCGCTCAGGCTATTTATATGCCAGATTTTAGATAAACATTGATGAATTTGGAACTTCAATACAGTATTTCAGGAACCTGACCATTTCTATCTGTATATAAATTGGATTTTCTTTATTCCAAACTTTCCAAACCAATGGCAAGCTATGCGGTTTTTGTTTGTTACTTAAATTTTCAATGGTGAATTAACTATAAACTGTGTGGTTATGTGGGAATGCTGAATAAATACCTGAAAACATGGTTAAAGTGGTGTAATGTATCCTCGGTTGGTCTATATTGTGAGAAATGTGAAAAGCGAATCTCTTTGTCTACGTTCCGTGACGGTTTAAAGGTTTGGCTTTTTGTAGAATGTGAAAAAGTTGTCAATTGATTCAATAAAATACTTGTGTTTATTTCAATTCTACAAAGCGAACGTGGTTTTTTTTTCTCTCTCTGACTGTTCTGAATGAGCGAAATGTGTGAAGTTAATGTTAATTTGATTAACAAGTTCATTTCTTCAATACCGCGAATTAAGTTTTTGTTTGTTTTCTAATTAGCTTTAGCGCTGTTGAAATGCGTGAAGTAAGTGATGGAAAATTGACTGAAAATTGGTGTCTCATCCATTTAAAATGAAAGGTTAATTTTTGTTGATGTGCGGATTCCAGGTTGAAGAGTTTAACTGGCATTTTACTGTGTGGTGAGTCAGTCTGGCTCAGTTGGTAGCACTGTGGGCTCTGAGTCAGAAGGTTATGGGTTTCCAGCCCCACATTAAAGTCTTTAACATCCATCTGCCTCTTCAGATGGACGTTAAAACTCTTAAAAAGAGAAGGGACTTTATCATCATCATCATTATTATATTATTATGATCATATTTGTTGGCAGATCCAAACTACATTTCGAAACCCATATTTTGAACAAAATACAGAAAAGGATAATATTTTGCTCATGCTAATTTTTTCCGTTACCGCTGTGTTAACATAAATATCGGCTTAGAATCCTCTACAAGCTATTTGTGGGAAATGCAAATTTGTAAGGATTTCGAGTGCTACGAATTCAAGTAAACACGACAGCAAGCACTTAAGAACATTTGGGAATGTGAAAGATGTCACTGCGTTCAGCCCGACAAAGCTCAAACCTGCAGGAAGTTAAAAGTCTCATTGTGGCATCTAATTGCATTTGACAATCACAGGAATTCACAGAAAACTCTGAGTCTAAAACTCAGTGTGACATTTTTATTATGGTACATCAGAGTCTGTTACCAATTCTATTGTCGAGGAGATTTAAAGAGTTTGAAAATGCATTGCTACGCACTTTTATATGAAGCAGATACGATACTACATCTCTCGGAGCGATCACCCCAGAAACTATAGTTTCTACACATAACAAAGTCAAAGGGATTTTACAATAAAGCCACTTTTCTAGTCACAAAATGCCAAGGAGTCAGGATAGTGTTGTGAGAACATTAGACTATCCAGGACAGCTATTCATTGAAATCCTTTACCTCTGACATTCACGGACCATTTCAATTTCTTGTTACAATGCGAAATGAGCATTTGGGAATTGGAGATTAATGGAGAGAAGGAGCTGAAAAAACCCAGAATGAGACACATGCAAATAATAGCCGGAATTATTTTCAAGTAAGAGATCGAAAGAGTAACCAATGTGAACCTGTTGTCAAAGGCATTTAGTGAGCACTGTAAAAATCAGTATAACAATTCATTTTGGCTGTTACAAAAGGCCCAACTCAAATACATGTAAATAGAGCTAGTCAAGAGCTACTATATTGTCCTGGTAAAAAATAACTGGACCTTCAAATGACTGGTGATTGATCAAAATAAACTGAGAGGAAAATGCTCTAAAGCACTCAATTGTTGAACCAATTAAAAGCAATGAGTCATGAAGTAATATATACCGATCCCAATTATAAATTTGGGTTTCCCAATTGAAAGGGATCTTACTGTCTGAAGTTCAATCTCGAGTTGTCGAAAGGCCAGAGATAAATAAAGTAACAAGTACAGCTAATGCACAGAGGAAAGTAACTGGATTTGGGCGTTGACTCCCTGACTAACGCACCTGATTCAGCTAAAAAAAAGTTAGAAGTCAACGTAATTGGGAATCGGAGGAATGAGAAGCAGAAGAGTTAGAAACCAGAAATATCAGGTAGAAATGAAAAATTAGAGTGAAAGGAAGTCGAAACAAATTGATTCCAAAAATAATAATAATGATAAATTTGGTCACTCAACCCACGACTGTTTGGGGGACACCACTGCACACGATTGGCTGCCACGATTCTACATTTCTTAGGATGTGTAATGTGTGTTTGAATTCACACTTAGAATGCTCTCTATGCTCATGAGTAATCTACAACCTCAATGGCAAAGTTTTCTACAGATTAGTACGTTTTATGGTTGGTGATTAGACCAAATATTGTCATGTTATTTAGTCAAAGTATGACCCAACAGAAATATTTTTTGCTGAGTGCCATAATAATAATATTAATAATGATGATGATATTCTAAAGTAGCAGTTTTAACTTGAAATTGCAGTGTCAAAGCAATTGCAGTAGATGTACTCGTATCTTAAATCATTACATATATTGCATTTTACCGCTGCAGAAAAACAATTGGCAATCTTTAGGACTCGTGTCATATTTCATCCCAGAGAAAGTACCCTATCGTTCTTTATCTTGACGTGTCTGATTCTAAGTGGCAATTTTAATACTCCGTGCCTGGCGAGAGTACTGCAAATAAATATCTCCACGTCAGTTTTG